AATTGATTCTTTTGCTGCTGGGGCGTCAGAACCGGTTTTCTCCTAAACTACTCTGATGCTGTTCTTTTGAAGAGCTGGGCACCAGGTGCTTTCTTCCCCACACTTTGCTACAGCACCCATATCTTCAGTGCGCTCTTCACATGGGCCAGCATCAAGCAGAGCCATGTCATTAGAATGAACTGTTCTTAGATTGAGGCTAGAATTAAGTGTGAGTCCCAAACCCAATTGTATATCTATGATTTATGTATGCCTCTGGTTCTCCTTAGAGGCATCACTATCATTTTATGTTACAGGACATTATCAATCATCCATCTGAGGGATAAGGTAATTCTATTGATAATGTCATTAATTTACCCAATGCTATAGCATTTCAAACACTGTTGATAAAATGAAATTATACAAGCATAGGCAGACTACCAACTGCAACACCTGAATTCTTGATTTTTACAGTGTAACTTCTTAAGTGACTGGGCACTCTTTATGTAAACAATGGGGGTAGGTGATACAGCAACACTTTCAATAATAAGAAAACTCAGAAGTTAATGCATTCACCTAAACATAACTGATCTTTGTTAAAGGACCAAAAACTATAAAATGAAATAAAGACAGCCTCTTCCATAAATGGTGTTGGCAAAATTGGGTCTCCATGAGCAGAAGAATGCAACAAGACCCATAACTTTACCATGCACAAAACAAACTCAAGGTGGATTTAAGACCTAACCATAAATCCCAGACCTGTAAGGATCAACAATGAGAACATTGGGACAAATTTGAAGGCCCTCTTGCGGGGCATACACAGATTACCAAGTATAATAAAGAAAGCACACACAATGGAAGACAAAATAGGTGGCTGGGACTTACTAAAAATAAAACACCTATGCAGTGCAAAAGTCTTCATAAAAAAGTAAAACAAGAGCCCACAGATTGAGAAAAAGTTTTTTAGCAATGGTACACCAGGCAAAATCTACACAACTCTGTGATACTTCAATAAGAGAATAACAAACAACCCAATTACAAAGTGGGCAAAAGACATGAACAGAGTGTTTACCAAAAATGACCCTCAAATGGTTAAATGTGAAAAAAAATGTTTATGATCATATGGGAGATGCAAATTAAAACTACAATGCTGTATTACCTTACACCCACAATGATAGTGAAATTGAAAAACAAAACAAAACAGAAACAATAAAGTTGGGAGAGGATGTGGAGAAACTGGAACTCTTTTATGCTACTGGTGGATTTGTAAACATGTACACTCACGATAGAAAGCAATATGGTGCTACCTAAAACAACTGGGAATGGAAATCCCATATGATTCAGCAATACCACTATTGGGCATGTACCCCAAAGAAGAGACAGAACATGAACAGATGTGCTCTCCCATATTTATTGCAGCACAATGCGCAATAAGAAGAAGCTGGAAACAGCCTAAATGCGCATCAGTGGAAGAGTGGAAAAAGAAGCTATGGTCCATACACACAATGAAATACCATGCATGCCTAAAAAACACCTGACAAAAGCATGAAACACTTCATGGCATGGATGGAGCTGGAAACTATTATGCTGAGTGAAGTTAATCAATCACTAATGAGCCCACTACTATATGATAAACACCAAGAGGAAAGCAGGCTTTTGCTTTCAGGTCACGTAAACCCCTAATCCATGCTCTTAAGCAAAGTGGTAGAAAACCTGCTTAGCATACATGAACCACGTATCTATCACCCTTCCCCCACTTATATGTACATCTTTAAAACCAATTCAAGCTGAGCTGGGGTCACTCCTTCAAGAGGGGGTACAGGGGAAGACCATTTATTTGTTGCCATACAATATTGTGATAAGGTCACCCTGAATCAACAGATATTCCTACAGAAGTGATGTGAACCTTATTGGAAAGTCAAGTCAAGATGAGGGGAGCGGAGTATGTGTGTTTGGGAGACTGTGTTTATGTTTCTGTTGGTGGGTAAACAGGGAGACAGCCTTTCATCACCAAAGAAATGCTGAATAATACTTCTACAGAACCCAAAGGGAGAATGAGCCCAGTGCTCTGTTCCAAGTTGGACACTTTTGACCTAGTTTCTATCCAGCCTTTGGTGACCTACGCCATGCACTAAAAACAATTGTGATTTTAGACTGTCTTTTCAAGGTGCACAGCATCCTTCCTAGGCCACACCAAAAGGACTCTACTAACTGAACTAGAATTTACCTCAAACTCACTTGTAGCCCTTGGACTTAAGAATGAAGTTCCCTAGTAGGAGAAGAAACATATGAATGCCACCCCCAAGGTTATGGAGTTGGTGGCCATTGGATCTGGGTTCCAATCCCTTGCTTTGACAGTGCCCAATAACGGTGGTTCAGGACCACCATCTATTTACTATTTTTATGCCCTCCTTGATTTACTATGACATGTAATAATCTAATAGGCATAGTTCTGCCTTTGTGAAGGAATGTTATTGGATCCAAGGATTGGAAACAATAAAATCCAAATCCAAAGGAGGGAATAATTACAGGACTTAAATTGTGAACCTTTGCAGAAGTTTATGTATGGATGACAGTGGGGACATACAAAGGTCAAGTTACTAATGGAGTCTTAGCTCAGGTCTGATTCCCCATTTAACATGTGCAAAAATTAGATGGATCTCAGTGAATGAGAGTGGATTACCATAAACTTTTAACCAAGTGGTGACACTAATTGCAGCTGTTAATCCAGATGTGGTTTTATTCCTTGATCAAAGTAATACATTTCCTGATACCTAGTATGTAGCTATTGATCTATCCAATGCCTTTTTCTCAATTCAGGTTTCAAAGACTCATGACCAGCCAATGTACTTGCTGAGAGCAAAGGACATACAGAATGGGACATGAAGAAAACAGTTCTAGATACCAGCTACTGCCATGTCACCAGCTGCAGAAGAGACCTGTAATTGTTATGAGTAATTCCTATGTGTATGTATGTACCCCAAATTTTTGTTTTGTTCACTTATAACATAAAAGATGAAAATGAGTTTAGTGCATTTTTGATTGTTCATATGTTAGTTATATCATATTAGGTGCCAGTATGCTTTTCTTGCCTTTGGTCCGTAAATACGGTTAAAAGTTATGTACAGGTGTCAAGTTGACAAGGGGCAGTTTGTGATAGGGATTATGTCAACCAGACACTTCTGGGTAAGGGTAGGGGCAGGGTCCAACCTGTCAATTGGGTCTCACCCTGATGACACCTTTTTAGATTCATAAGTCTTTTTGTACAAGAGCTAGAGAACAAGCCGAGTCAAATTCTCTTTGGGTCTTCACCTTCTGCCAGAGCTGGATCTTGCATTTGGTTCCTCCGTCTCGCGTTGCTTCCTCTGCTGATCCCAGGAGCCATCAGTGGACTACTGACAGTGGATTATTTGGCCGACTTCAACTTCTGCATTCACGAGCCTGGGCTTCCGCTGTCTCTACTTTGTCACCTTGCTTCTTGCTTGTCAGCTTCCACGAATCAGGCTTCCCCTGATTTGAACCTGACTGGACTTATTTCTATAACTAGGCAAGCCTTTTCTTGATAAAAATCGATTTCTAGATACAAACACATATAACCATCACAGATTTCCCTTCTCTAGAGAATCCAAGTTAGAGACCAACTGTGCCCCCGGGGCTCTTTCTGTTTATCTAGAGAACCTGAAGAAACAACCTTCAAAGTAAATTAATTCTGAGGAGGTAGTTCATTACACCTTTTGCCATCTGTTTAGTCAATATAGTAGATGGCTTTCATGTTTCAGTGTCAACATGCCATAATGTGAGAGTTTATATAATTATGTTTGCATTCTGGTCAGAATGATAATTTTATTCTAAACTTCCAAACGTATGAGTTTGACTTCTCTCTCCATCCACTGGAAGGTGGCACAATTAGTTACAGCCAACTGGACTTCATTAATGATTAACCCTGTGGCCAGTAATCTTAAAGGGTACATTTTTTTCTCTTGGATTGAGCTGCCTGTATGATACTTACACGTTGTTCTGCCAACCACAAGGTCAGCAGTTCGAAACCACCAGCCCCTCCATGGGAGACAGGTGAGGTTTTCTACATCCGTCAAGAGTTACAGTCTTGGAAACCCACAGGGGACGTTCTACTCTGCCCGATAGGGTTGCTAGGTGTCAAAACCCACTCCATGGCAGTGAGTGTGGCTGGTTGTTGTTATTTTAATGTTGTAGTGAGTTACGCAGTGGGCTTCTAAACAAGGTCAGAAGTTTGGACCTACAAGCTCCTCTGAGGGAGAAAGATGAGGTTTTCTGTTACTGAAAGTAATAGTTCCCGCAGACACCCATAAGGGCAACACTATCCTACCTATGGGCTCCTTATGAGTCAGAATCAACTCGATGGCAGGGCGTTTGGTCTGGTCTGGATGATACTAGTAACGGAGTTCTGAGCGAAGTGTTAGGCTGCTAAGCGCAAGGTTATACTCTATTCTATGGGGTAACTATTAGTTAGAATCACTTCAATGGCAATCGTATGATATTGATAAGCAGCCTTGGTGACCCAGTGGTTAAGAACTTGGCTGCTAATGGAAAGTTTGGCAGTTTGGACCCAACAGGCCCAGGAACATATGTGGGAGTCTGTTTCCATAAATAGCACAGTTTTGAAAACTCCATGGGGCAAATCTATTCTGTTCTTTGTGATCACTATGAATAGACGTTGATTAGACTGCAATAGGTTTTGTTTTGGATAATACTAGTGACTAATAGGAAGAGACAGAGAAGGCAGTTCATATTTCTATGAATTTTTGGTTCTCCTAATGCACAAATACATGTCTCCATAAGTTTTGATTAAACTAATTATATGCAGCCTTGATAAATGGTCCATCTCATTTTACTTCCTTAGCAGTAAAATTCTGCCACATAAATTATATAAAATGCACATGGGTTTCATAAAGTTAAATACAATAAGTAAATCCCTTCTTTGGAAGTGATACAAACAGGTCTTCATTCATGAGCAGTCTTTTTGAAATTTTTAATATGGGTCTTACCTTGCACTTCCCGAAGTTCTTGATTCTTAAGCGTTAGATAAATCTTAAGACTATTTATAATATTCAGAGCCAAGGGTGATTTCCCTGAAATTGAGTAAGGCACGATGGTTCGACCATACTGACTCAAATCCATTTCTCTGGTAGAGAGGTCATCTTGTAAGTCCATAATTTTTAAGAGATACGTTGTGACACACACAATTACCAATATTTGTAGCAACGTCAACTTCCAGTGGCGCCTAGTGAATAGTACCCTCTTTGTCAACATGGCCCGGAATTGCTGGCAATAAAGAGGTAACTAAAAACAGGAGAGAAACACATTAAACACCTCAAAATAACGAGTGAACTAAGTAGGATATTCAGACTAAAATTCTTTTAGATAAATGCATCAAATTTTTATGGTGCAAGACATACACATATAATGCAAATGTATCCTTAAATAGATTGAATAAAGAACAAGAATGCATACAAAGCTTTATTTGCACATGGTATTAGGTGAGAGGATTAAGGCCTGGTTTCTGGTCTAACTACAGTGAAAATATTAAAAAGATAACTCTTTTCCTTAACACACTTTTACTATTTTTGACCAGGAGAACAGATCTTATCTAATTTAATATCAAATCACAATATTTTGAATTCCTTCATCTATTGGTAAAATATCTATAAACCTTGCATATAGACATTTCCTTTTTTCACTTGTTTCATTGATATAAATACGTAACAGAACATTTGCCACCTCAATTGTCTTTACATTTATCATGACATTGTGTCCATTACAGTCTGCAAGCAACCATCTGTCTATCTCCAAATCACCCTGTGGAAAGTTCAGTGTCCCCAAAGTATGGAGTCCCCAATTATCTGTCCCTCTCACTTCCCTCTTGTTGTTTTTGCTCGGCACCACGGAGTTGATGCCAACTCAGAGACTCGATGCACAACGGAACCACACACCGTACTCACAGTTGTTGCTATGTCTGCACTCGTTGTTGCAACCACTGTGTAAATCCTCCTTCTTGTGAAGCTTCCTCTTTTTGGCTTCCTCCTTACTTTATCAAACACGATGCCCTTTACCAGGCACCTTTCTCTCCTGATAACATGTCCAAAGCACATGAGACGAAGTCTCGCCATCCTTCCTTCTAAGGAGCGCTCTGATTGTACGTCTTCCAAGACACATGTATCTCTTCTTTTGGCAATGCATGGCACTTTCAAGATTATTCGCCAGCACCATAATTCACATACCTCGATTCTTCTGCAGTTTTCTTTATTGAGTGTCCAATTTTCACATGCATATGAGGCCATTGAAAACCCCAGGACTTGTGTCAGGCCACAAAGAAACTTCCTTGCTTTTCAATACTTTAAAAAGGTCTTTTTAAAAAAAATCAATTTATTGGGACTCATACAATTCATCACAATACATAGATCAATTGTGTAAAGCACATCTATACATTTGTTGCCCTCATCATTCCCAAAATTCGCTTTCCTCTTGGGTTCCAGGAGTCAGCTCATTTTTCCTTTTTTCCCCTCCCCCTCCCTTCTTCCTTCCCCCCTCCCCCATAAAAAAAGGTCTTATGCAGTCAATTTGCCCAATGCAATGCTCACTTGATCTCGTGACTGCTGCTTCTATGAACATTGATTGTGGATTCCAGCAAGACAAAGTCCTAACAATGTCATCTATTTTCTTCATTTACCATGGTGTTACCTAGCGGTCCAGGCGTGAGGATTTTTGTCTTGCTTTGTTTTCTTTTTTCACATGGAGTTGTGATCCAGACTGAAGGCTGCAATCCTTGATCTTCATTAGCAAGTGCTCCACGTTTTCCTTTCAGCAAGCGATATTATGTCACCTGCATATGGCAGGTTGTTAATAAGCTTTCCTCCAATCCTGATACAGCGCTCTGCTTCATTTAATCCAGCTTCTCTGATGATTCGCTCAACATACAGACTGGATAAATAAGGTAAAAGGTTCAAACCCCGACGTACAACTTTGAAAAATATTTTAAACTATACAGTTTCCTCTTGTTCTTTTTTGAACACACATCTGCCTTGAGCAATGTACAGGTTTTCCATGAGCACAAGGAAGGTTCTAGAATTTCCATTCTTTTCAAGGTAATCCATCCATAATTTGTTATGGTTCCCACAAACGACGACACTCACATTCACCTCTGGTGACCATGTGGATCTGTATAAACTTGCTCATTCTAGATATTTCATACAAATGTAATTCATCCTAACAATAGTTTCTTCTGTAGGCCGATTTATTTCACTGAGCATGATGCTTTAAAAATTCATCCATGTTGTAGCATGCATTCTCACTGCCATCAGTCAATGCCAACTTACAACGATCCTATAGGCCAAGGAAGAACTGCCCTTGTGAGTTTCCAAAATCCCAACTCTTGACAGCAGTAGAAAGCCCTGTTTTTCTCCTGTGCAGCAGCTGCTTGTTTCAAACCATTAACCTTGCAGTTAGCAGCCCAATATGCAAGCACTATGCCACCAGGGTTCCTTGTAGGGTGTATTAGAATTTCATTTATTTTAATATTGGAATAATATTGAATTACATGTCTGCACATTTTGTATATACATTCCTCTCTTGATGGACCTCTACTCCCCCCTCCCCCATTTTAACTTAAAAAAAAAATCATTTTATTATGGGCTCATGCAAGTCTATCCCCATTTTAACTTTTGTGAAGAATGTTATTTGATACCTATATATAGGTATATATAGGTATCTAATTGCATACCTGCTTACAGCTTTTTGAGTACATACTTGGAAATTAAATTGCTAGGTTGCATGGTAATTGTTTAATTTTATGACAAATCATCAGACTGGTTTCTACAGTGTCAGTGCCATTTTACATATCACAGTAATGGGTGAAGTTTCACATTTCTCTCTACCTTTGCCAGTGTCTAATGTTTCCCTTTCTCCTTTTTAAATCATAGTCATCTCAGTGGGCTAGAAGTGACATGGCACTGTCATTTTGATTTACATTTTCCTAATAACAAATGCTGCCAAGGATTTCATTTAACTTGAGTCCAAAATCTAGCCCATATAAGCAGCAATCAAATGTGCTACAAAAGATCACTATGAAGTGTTAAAGAGAAAAGATGTCACTGTAAGGTGTGTTTGACCCTAGTCACAGTAATTTCAATCACTTCACGTGCCTGGGAAAGATGAAAAATTCATAAGAATCATCCAAGAATTGATACCTTTGTATTATGGTGTCCATGAAGATATTAAATATATCATAGACTGCTAAAAGAATGAACAAGCCTGCTTTGGAAAAACCCCCAGCAGGAATACTCCTTAGAAGCCGTCATACAGGGCAAGATATGACAAAATAATGATTTATAAATTATCAAGGGCTCATGAGGGAGGAGGGAGCGGGGAGGGAGGGGAAAAATGAGGACCTAATGCTGGGGGCTCATTTTCCTTTCCCCCCTCCCCCTCCCTTCCTCT